CCTCCCAGTGGATTCAAGAGTCGTCTCTCGAAAATTCTAACACGAAACTCTCTTTTAAGTCTCTCTTGAGCTGTCGTGGTTGCGGCCTGTCACCACAAATGTTTCTTCATGTGTTTCACATGAGTCCACATGTGTCTTCCACTCGAGTCCTGAGTGTTACACTCCTCCTTTGAATGTGGCGGTAGTAGCCACAGCCAACATCCCACTCAGCCGTCTGCCAGGTTGGTACTCACTGGCAGTGGTTGCTTCTCAGCGCGGTTCGTCTTGCGGCTGCTCAGCTTGCTCAACTTGCTGCTGCAATGCCGCTCTTTGTGCTCTTGCTATTCTTTCTCTCACGACGGTCATCCAGTCTCTGCTTCCAAGAGGCCATCCATATCCTCTTGGAGACTCAGGGATCTCTTCCTCAGGCTCAGGCTCATAGCAAAGCCTTCGAGTAAGCCATTTGCCACCATCTCTCCTCCAGTTGGGGTTCTCGATGAAGTACTCTTGAGGTGTGTCGATCTCAGGATCAAGGAGTCGGTGGATTTGGATCTCACCGGTGTCTGGGTTCAGCCAGAACACAATGCCAGGCATGTTGTACTCCACGTAGCTCTTCTCATCTCAAGCCAGCATGCCGGCGAAGTTCTCGAACTGCGTCCGTGACTTCGTCGCCAGGTTCACGTTCAACGCGTCGAACTTGTTCAGGCGAATCACCTTCTGGTTCTTCAGCAGGTTGTTCTGCTGTAGGTTCTTCTCCTTCTGAACTCTCTTCACTTAAGCTTCCAAATCCTCCACGGCTTTCTAGACGTCCATCCACGTCCAGGAAGTACTCCTCGCCAGGGAAGGCTTGCGCTCGGTGTCGAAGAACTCTGTAGGTCGCCATTTCTTGACCAATGGGGCCCCAATCTTCAACTGTTGCAATGACAACGGAGTTCTAGGCTGTCTCCGTGAGGTTCTCGAGTTGAGGTTCTTCTTCTTGTTCTTCACTTTCATCTCCTTCAAGTAGTAGGTGGTTGTCATCTCCACCATCAGGTTCATCCCATAGTTCTCCATCTCGATCACTTCCGCGAGCTTCCGGATCATGTCCGGCTGGTTCTCCGAGGATGTTGAACCTAGTGTTCTTGACCTTTCTCTCTTCACCATCTCGATGAGGGTCTTCAGGCGGTGAATCACGTCGTTGAATTTCTCCGTCACCTTCAACAGGTCGTAGGTTGAGGTAGTCCCTGAGGTAGAACAGGATGAAGACGAAGACATTGAACGCCACCATCATCACGCCAGTCTGCAAGATCTGGTAGAACTGAAGCTGTGTTGAGCACCATCAGCGCCAAGTCGCAACCTTGCACACTCATAGCCATCATCATGGCCACCATCAAAACTGCATTTGCCGTGAACACCATGAGGGAAAGTCCACGGTTTTCTTCATTCCCGGTCGACGGCTCTTCTCCGACTTCCATTCCGTGGCCCTGCTGACTCAAAGCCGCCAAAAGCAAACATGTCAGTTGTTGTACTCGTTCAGGTCGAAGTCCTTTGACCGGTCGAATTTCTTCTTCTTGGGCTCCAACTCGCGGTCCACCAGCGTACTCCATGTAGCCAATGAGGCCAAGCAATAACCTCAATCTCTTGCTGCTGTGACTCTTTGTTCCCAAGTCACTGCTGTTCTCCTTTCCCAGCACGGGTCGAACTGCTGCTTCTCGCTCTTCAACTTTCTGTTGCACCCAAAGAAGTCCAGCGCTTATGTGTCGGGTTCTCTGTACTCCTTATCGTTGGAGTAGTGCTCGAGCAGAGGAACTGTCAATCCCCAGTTCCAAGACCACTTTCATGTTCAGCACAGCCTCCAACATCCTTTTGATGTAGATTTCATCTCATGCCGCTGACTGCTGAAATGAACTCGGCTTCACAGCTTGACAAAGCTACGCTCTTCTGGCTTCTGTTTGCACTCCAAAAGAAGACGCCGTTAAGGTACATGTAATAGATCTCCTTGTAGTCCTGTCTCAGGCCCAGTCCGTGTCCGTAAAGACTTCGAGAAGGCTCGGATGTTGCGTTGCAGCCATCTTCACGTTGTCACTCCTTTCTCCCATAGCCGAAGCCATTGCGAAGCTCTGCTTCATCTCCTGCACATAGTCTGCCGTGTGCTTCAAGTAGAGCGCCAACAGTTTCAAACCCTTCTGGTCCAGGGTGTCAGTTCCTGTGACCTTTGAAGCCAACTGTCGAACTGCGCATTGAATATCCGGCCTCACTCAGTTGACATGTAGAGCAAAATGCCAACACAGGTCCTGTAGAGGCTCGATTCCTCTCTTGAAAGAGGTTGTCCTTGAAGTCCTTTCTGGAATGTTCCAGTCGTAGGCGTCAACTTGCCCTTGTTCACGCGCAGGTCCAACAAGTCCACCAACTTCTTCACATACTTCTGGTCCATGGAACCAGATCCATCAGAAGCAAAAGCCCTCTTGAGGAATGCGCACTGCCCTGCAACCTTGGGTGAGCAGGGTCCTTGCGCTTGAAGTGTCCATTCCTGCTTTCTGAAGCTATCAAGGAGCTTCTCAACATCTTGTTGACTTCCAACCAGCTGTCGGTCATCAACATGTGAAGACATCATCAAGGGTGTCCTGCCAACCTTGTAGAAGACTGCCGGGTTTGCAGGATAGGGTCGTAGTCCTTGGCCTCGCGCCACTTTACCCAAGTGGTCATACCATGCCTTGGATCCAACTCGCTGTCCAGGAAGGCATCGTCCAAGTTCAAAGAACTCTCCATTGCACTCAACATAGACCTTCTCCTTGTGGGGAACCATGAGGTAGGCGTCCTTGACATCAACTGTCCATAGTCCAAGTTCTCCTTGGCTCGACTGAACCAAGGCAGCCCATAGTTTCACTCCAATCGCATTGCTCGTAGGGCTAACCAAATTCTCCATCTCAGGCGAAAGAAACTTGTAGTCTCTGCCCACCAGTCTTGACCGTCTCATCCAGCCAAACTTGCCAGTCTCTTCCTTGAGGCGCCATCGCCAGTCATAGACCTTCTTGGTCGTCAGGCACCTGTAGCCCTCAAAGTTGCCATTCCTTGGAATGAGGACTCCCATGTTCACCATCACCAGGCTTCTTGACCTCAGTCTCCTTCTGCTTCTTGTCCTTCAAGTCCTTGTCGTCAAGGCACTCCTCATCACTGCCCTCCAGCTCTCCGAAGGGTTTCGCCAAAGCTTCTCCTGCGCGACGTCGGGCATACTCTTCCACCGCCTTGGCCTCATCCTGTAGTCCAGGAAAGGTCTGGCTTTCCAGGCTTCTCTTCTTGTCGACTTTGGTCGTCGGACCAAACTTTTGTGCACTTGCATCATCCCACGGCAATCCATGACAAGCCATGAGGAACTCTGGTTGCCATTCATCTGCGCATCGCCGGACTACTCTTGTCACAAACAAGCCGTTGAGCGACAAAAGAAAGTTTAGGTCTGAGTCCATCAACTTGCCCACATAGATTCCCTTCCGCCAGGTTGGAACTCCTCGTCGGGAGTTCTTCGGAGCTGGAAGTGGTTGCCCATAAACATGCTCCAAAAGGTGCCAGCTTCCCTGAGTAAGTGCGGGAAGTCACAACTTCAATTGGTGTATTGCCACCAGGTGTCACATGGAACCTGTTGTACAACCAAGATGCATGGGCATAGCGCCACACAAACAGTGGGTGTGAAGCGGGAATCTCGATTCCACATCCAACACAAATGCTCTCCAGCAAGTGTTGCCCAACCTTCTCACTGTCTGAATTGCTCGCTCTGCAGGGTTTGACGCTGATCTGCCTTGAGGCGAAAACTCTTGAGTTGTCTGAAGCTTCAGCAGTTTCCTTGCGTCAGCCACTGCCTTCATCACTTGTTTCAGTGAAGGTTCTTGGTCACCTTTGATGATCACCCTGTCGTAGTCCCTAACAAAGCCACAATTTGCATTGGCACACAGCTTCACGCTTGCACCTCCTTTTGCCTTTTTGGCACAGCCAAAATGGCTTTTGACCAATTGTCCACAGCCACCAAATGCTTGACTTCTGGGCTTTCCTTGCGAATCGTGGCGCTCGTTGTCATGTAGTCCAAAGCCACTGTGGGACAAACTTGTTCTCTTCGTTCATGACGTTCATTGTCTTTTGACCTTGTTGCTTGGCAGTGTTCACACCATTCTGCAAAAGGAGGGCGTGTAAGCACATGACGTTGCTTCTCCTCATCTGTTGGGGCTAACGGAACAACAGCTTGTTGAGGTCGACGCTCCATAGACCTCTTCTCATTTCGAGCTGCATCAAGCGCTGCTTTTGCTGCTGTCTCTCTCACTGCCACCTCTATTCTTTTGAAGACCACAGCCTTGCTCCCACTCAAATTGATTCCAAGGAACTCACAATTATCCTTCATCACTTTTCTTGAGCTCCCAGCCGTGAGCTTCAAACCATTCACCATCACGAAGTCGTCTCCAACCTCGTCGTAGACCAACAGTTCTGGTTCATGTGGTCCTGCTTGCGGTTCATCAGCCTGCATCTCTTCAGGAACAGGCTCAGCTTCTCCAGGTAGAAGACGTAGTTCAGGAGGTCCTCCAAGTTGTGCATGTAGAACATGTTGAAGAAGTTCAGGAAAGATCCATAGAGCTCCTGAATCTTGTGAGGGAAAAGTGCTTTCTGGTGCACCAAAGTCAGTGTATTTCATGGCGAAATGCCATCCAACTCTGACATCCTCCTGTCTAGCCAAAACTGCGCGCTCTCCACACAGTCATACTCCGCCACTCTCCAGCTTCACCAGTCCTGCAAGGAAACTCATGGCATTCTTGACCGCCAAAACAGATGTTCCATCGCTCAACTCACGCCAGCCAGATTCTACACGTCCATGACATAGCTGACTTCCTCCTCCTCCAAGGCCAAAGCCTAGAGTCCGGGCGTTGCGCTGCCATGCTAGCGGGAGGTAGTAGTCACCTCGCTTTTGACATTCTGGGTCATCCAGCCTTTCTTCATCCACTTGCCCATAGCCACAAGTGGTTGCTTCACGTTGGCCACCGCAAAGATCTCCTTCAGCTGGACAGGTCGTCCATCCGCTGCTCTGCAACGCAAAGTCATAGCCACTTTCTCTTCAACAGGGATCATTCGTCCTTGAGAATCTCGAAGAAAGGTCTCAACCTTGGAGGTCTTGAGGGCGATGAAGTCCACGTTCTGGAAGAGGTCGTTGTAGTCCATCTTGTAGTCGACGAGGTCGATCTCCTGGGTGAAGTTATCCTCCATGGTCCAGTGGTCGTCCATGTCCGTCATGGTGAGGTCAAAGTGCTCAACCATGTCGTCCTCAGCGACCATCATCTCAAAGCCTTCAGCGAAGCTCTCTTCAATGTCAATCTCACCTTCCTCGGCTAGGTCGAAGATCTCGCAAGTCTCCAACATGGGAGGTGTCTTGATCTCCCAAGTCCTTCTCACCGCGCCAGCACTCCTGTAGGAAGTGTTGCTGCTTGGCGCCGTGCTTGCCGAAGACGAAGAAGTCCTCGTGGAAGGTCCTTGTCCTCCACCATTTCCTCCATGATCTCCTGAATCATGGCCTTCAACTTGCTGAACTTGTTGCCCACGTTGCCAACATTCAGCTGCTCTGTGGCCTGTTTTGCCACACACAAAGCAAGCTCCCTTCGACTTGCCTTTTTGCCCTTGTCTTGACTCTTGCCGCTTCCTTTTCCTTTGCTCTTCTGGTCAGAAGAGCTTTTGCCTTTGCCTTTGCTCTTGCCTTTGTCACCCTTGCCTTTGGGCGAGCCTTTCTTGCCTTTACCCTTGTCTTTGCCCTTTCCTTTGTGGTCGCCCTTGATGCGATCCCCCTCCATTGGCGCAATCTGGTTGCGCTCGAGGATCTTGGCGCTTGACCAGGCAGCCGTCGATTGCTCGTAGGCCACCGTCGATTCTCTCACCTGCGCATAGCGAGTGCCAGGCTTCGTTCAGCTGCAAATGCTGTCGCAGCTGTCCAGGGCAACAGCGCACGACCGTTGCTATCTTCAAGTTCTCATCCAAGGAGCTTCCTGCCAGCAGCTCGTACTCGCCGACCAGCTTCTCATACTTCATGATTCTTTCAAGGATCTTGCCCTTCTCGAACTGCAGAAAGGCCACCAATGCCTGGATGATTCCAAGCTCCCTTTGCCTTGTCTTGGGTTGGAATTCCCGACAAAGCCCTTGCCAGGCTCGAAAGCCATCAGTGTCCGTGACACTCCGGACGATCCGAAGTGGTCGCCCCTTCACCAAGTAGGCATACAGCTTCTTTGCTCTCTTCTGAACATCCTCCTTGTACTCCATCAGTTTGAGGTCTTGCTCAGAGTCCTTCTCCACGTGCTCCAGGTCGTTCTCCTCAATGAAGGCCAAGCTGCTCTTGAAGAGGAATCTTGTGAACCCATGGAGCTCAGTCACCACTCGCTCCCCATGAGCTCCAGTCTGAGCTCTAATCCAGTGAACTTGCCCTCCAGGAAGCCACTTGCCCTGATTGCACCGCCGCCAGCTGCAAGCTGCCTGCTACCGCTGCTATGGCTCGTGAGGCTGGGGATTGGGTCCTGTCCCCTTGGGCTCTCTGGCCCTGGAGATCACCCGAGGTCCTAAGACATCGAGATCACAGCTCCGCTACCATCTAACACGAAGCTCTCTTTTCAGTCTCTCTTGAGGCGTCGTGGTTGCGGCCTGTCACCACAAGCGTTTCTTCATGTGTTTCACATGAGTCCACGTGTGTCTTCCACTCGAGTCCTGAGTGTTACAAAAAATAAAAGACGGTTCAATTGTATCAGAGTTGGGAGATTCAGAGATGTGTTTAACCGATAGTGTTTTGAGAATCTCAGTCTATGAGTTCAACTACCAGCTTGTGCCTTGAATTCGTGCTTGGCTGATCCGCGTCCGTGACCACGAAGGCTCTTCAGCTGTGACATGTTGGAAGACTTGCACAGCTCGAAGAGCATCTTGGTGATCTACGAAGTTGATAAAGGCCATCTCTACTATACGGTGCGGATGTCGAGAACAGCGTGGTAGGTACAGGAAATCATACCTACCAATGAACGATGGTCCCAAGACGCTCATCAGACTTGCTGTTGTTGTCACTGCGGGCAAAGAGCGCAGCATAATTGTGGTGTCCCCTTCCTTTCAAAACGCGTCACCGCTCTCTGATCTTTGGGTTTTGCTTTAACATTTTTCACCACAACCTTCTTCGGTTTTGCAAATTATCTAGCTCCGTCAGTCAAACAAGTAGACTCGCAGCTCCTGCAGAAAGGTTTCAGCGGCGTGCTCTGCATCCTGGATCTCACAGCGATGAAAACACAACACATCTTTTCGGGGGCTGTGGGGGTAGGCCGTGAGCTAGAAGTTGCTAGATGCAAGGACACAATGGTTTCAATGTTGTTTGGAGTGGCAAGGTCAAGTCAGTCCACGACCTCTTTGTAACCTCTTCGTAGTCACGCAAAAAGAGTATGGGCTAGAAAAAGGACATATTGCTACTTGAGGTCTCACCTCGGCAAAGCTGCTACGCCGTGAACTAGGCAAACCGCCGGACATGGCCGGCCGGTGGCAAATGACAAAAGTGGTAAACATGGAAAAAGTGTCTTTGTACAAAAGAGTTTTCCTTGTGTTTGTGTTAGGGAATCATGGAATCGGGTAGGGAGGCCTTTCAATTGGAGATGTCATGGGTCCGGGTTTGATGAGTCGGACTCTTTCGGTTGATGTTCCTTTCGATCCGTCCACAGGCCGTCCTAACGTTCTCCTCATAAGGACTCGAGCCAAACCCGAAGCTGGTCCTCTTTCACTCCAACGGATCCAACATGCCAAACCCTCTCAACCTCGCAGATCGTGTTTTTTTCTCCGCACACTTGCGCACTTGGACTCACTCAAGCGCCACAATGCGAGCTTCACAAGCTGCTCACAAGCGACCTTCCCTGGAAAATGAATGGAGTCAAAAGGATGGAGTCAATGAACACAATTGAGCCCTGTCGCAAAAACATGTTTCCCCTGCTTCAATCCACATGTTGACACCTCACCTGAGAGATCGAGCTAAAGAGAGGCTCTCGTCCAGGCCGCCGAAGGGGTAGAGGTTCACCTGACCGTCAAGTCACTCCATTCGACTTTGTGAAGCAGCTGGGAGTACTTTGGGGGTACTTGAAGCTTGAAACAGTTTGCGCTTTTGTTTAAACAAGGCAACGCCGCCGTTAGCGGCTGTGGGTATTTTGCAGACGATGAATTTTGTACACGCGGGTCAACGGAAGAGTTCAGGACTGCTTCCAAAAGGTTCTGACAGCGGATCCGGGCATCGTGCCGCCCCTGCTACGCGAAAACCCAGTTGTGCATATCTGGATTCAGTAGACGACCCTTGACATATTTTGTGGCAAGTTCTTTTGGTATGAATTCATATGAAATCTTTGAGTCGTCACCACAATAGCAGACGAACGGACGAGGTGCGACGCGAACCTCACTGAAACCCCGCAAACCACCCCTAAAAGCAACCTGGTGACCCGAACCCTGAAGTGAAGCACTGTGACGCCCGAAAACCCACCCCAAAGGAACCCAAAATCCATTTAAACCTAAAAAATTGACAAAAAGTTGCAAAATCCCCACAGCTGGCTCATTCACCTTTAATTGTTGGTGTTGGGAGCTTGATAGCCTGGTAGCCAAGCAAGTTGTGAACCGAAGGCGCCCACCTCGATCTCTGCGGTGTCTTGAGCTGCCAAGGCCCACAGAATGTCCTTGCCGCTCAGCTTGCACAGAATGTTCCAATGTCTCTTGGAAATGGTTTTGACATATTGATGCTCTCTAAAATATCACATAAATACCGAAAAAAGTATAAAGATTTGCGTAAGCTTTCGGGTTGGATTGAAGCTCCTAAGTTTAAGTGTTCAGAACGTCAGTCCTTTTGCACCAGTGAACAACCCGAAGCTTCCTGCGGGACACTGTAAGCTCGGTGCGCAACTGCAGGCAGTCCAACACAACGGTGGCCATACCTGGCCTCCTCCTCCACCACAAGCGCCGAAGGTCCCGAGGCCTGCCTCGAGTTCATCTCCCCGATAGGCATTTCTTCCTCTTCTGCCTGTGACAACTTGCATATTCATTGCACTTTCAACAGGCAGTTTTTGTCACTCCCGGATTGACACCCTGTGCACCTGGACCAACCAAAGGAGCTCTGCCAACTCAGGGCGCCCCAAAAGGCCGTCGGCTCCAGCACATTGGCGCAAGAATGTCCTAACGAAAAGGAGAGAACGCTTTGGAAAGTGCGGATACTGGCTGGCGCACATTTCGAAAGGCGCTCTAAATGTGTCTTGTTATGACTTCATGAGAAAAGAAACAAGATGGAACCTCCAGGTTCGCCTGGAACACTCTTGCCAGCCCAACAGTCAAGAGCACACAAACAAAGTTTGCCTGCGATCGTGGGCAAAGGATCTCTCCAAACCAGGACCTCGGACCAAAAGAGGAAGGCCGTCCGCTGCTCGTAGCTTCGGAGAAACAGGGTGAGGCAACATGAGAGTGTCCAACGAGCAAGCATAACGATTGGTTTTCGGGTATGTAGCAGCCTTGTCTGCTAGTCTTGCTTTGTGCACCCATTTTTTGGTTAAAGGCGGCGGCTACCTGAAATCAGGCAAACGGTCAGAGTCATATTGGTTATTCAAAACCAAACGTTATACACTGGTCTGAGGGCAGACTCAAGTGGTCACATGACATGAGAGCCGTGCTAGGTGGGGGAATGTCATTGCGGTTTACGATCATGTCATAAAGGCATAAGTTCAACCTGTTTCAAGGTTCCAGAATTGAGGGATCATCCAACCTAAGAGCGGTGGCCTCCAACATCCGTTAGCCCCTTAGGCTT